ACTGGTTTATCTTTAATGTTGTATACATAATATTATATATTAGATATCTAAAATGTCTGTTTATAGATTTAACTAAATGTCCAAATGACTTATTTACAACATTTTGATTACACAATAAGAACATGATTGGTGTAAAATGTCTGAAAAACATTTTCCTTTAGATTTCAAACTGGAGTGTCTGATGGCGTCTGCTATGAGGCCAAAAGGTCAAAGGTCAAATACAAAGAAGGATCCTGGTACAGAGAGGGCAGAACATCAGAACAGGAAATCAGGAGGTTAAAAGTCGACCTGCTGACTAACATCAGTCATTTCCCGGATTTACAAAGTAAGAAAAGCTCCCTCAGTGGATCGCTGTGCCCAAAAAGCCCAACTATCCTATTTCTGTTCTTCTTCTGTACAGATTAGTCGTATTACAAATTAATAGACTAAACAATATCCAGAATCAGTTGAAACCAGGTTAAGAATCACTGCACTTAAACCGAAGAGGGACCAAAAAGGGAACTTTTGCTAGTGAGTCATCCTTAAATGAAACCTTAAGCCGATTTTGCCAAATCCCCTTCTTTCCCTCAGAGAGAAAGAAAGTAAGAAATGTAACCGCTTTGTTTATGAGAATAATGGGGATAGAGACCCAAACCAGTCCAGAGGTGGAGCCGCTGCTCTGATTAGATGAGCGAACCGACTCACCTCTCCCGTCTGTTGCTTTCCTTTTGCTACCTTTCTGGCTAAAAAAAGAGCCGAGTCATGGTTCTTTTTACTGTCTCACACCAGGAAGACTTTGGCCTCCTGAACGGCGGCCATTATGCAGGCCACCGAGCAGCAGCAGGGTCGGCTCCAAACACCAAACTCCGTCTTTAAAACCAGAATCTGAGCGGGCTGGTGGGTCACGGAGCCCCGGCCAGTACCAAATGGCCCCAGATGGGAGGGGTGTGGGGGGTGGGGGGGGGGTACCTTGCTCTTCAGGATGAGCTGGAAGGAGAGGGTGCGCTTGCAGGACAGGTTGGGGTTGCGCTCCGAGTCGTTGACCCGCGCCTTCAGGACCCACGTCTGGTTCAGGACGGTGAAGCGGGGCGTCTCGTAGTACAGGCGGGTGATGAAGTCGTCGGTGCGGTACGGCCGGAACTGCACCTCTGGGTGGGCGTACGGAGGGAGGAGCATGAGATGGGTCGGGGGGGGGGACGGCCCCCCGAGGTAGGGCTGTCACGATACTACAATGTTCAACTCGATACCGATGCTCAGGAAAATAATGTATACTCGATACCATTTTCAATACCACAAGGATAAAAACAAAGACCCCAAAATTTTTCATGAATTTCGACAGGTTAGTGTCTTTCGTTTCAAACGTACCTATTACTGAAGTTATCGTGGCCGGTGGCCCACATTAATGACCCTGACCCGAAACCTTCATAATAGTGAAAAATAAATATTTTTTGGTTAAAGTTGTTTGGACTTATTGTACAAACCTATTTAACATACAATATTATGTATAGAGTTCAATTCAGTGTTTGCCGGATGAA